AATATTAAATAATTTAATATTAATAATTTAATATTAAATAATCTTTAACATTCTTACTTATATTATAAGACTGACAAGGCAATTATATAAAGTTTGTTTCTTTAGAGAACTAGACAAAAGGCTTTAAAATGTTGGCTTGCATCCGGTTTATTTCTCTCATGAAAGATCAGTGAGATTATTGAGAGCAGGGTTTGATTCAAAGCACCTAAAAAGAAGCAGAGTGCTGTTCTAATTCATAATCTTTATTTTTAACTTTAGTAAGAACAGTTTTAAAACATTCTCTCCAAAAAGTAGAAAATGCTAAACAAAAATACAAAAATTATCTAGTCAAGATAAAAATACCTAAAATGTATTTTTAAAGTAACTTGTTTCTTTATGACACATAAGATTCCATCAAGTTCTTGGGTTGTTGCTCCTGCCACTGCCTTTTCGATCTATTTATGTCAATTTTATAACTGAGTTTATTCCAATTCTGTTCCATTTCACACTGTTAAATTCTACCACATGGACACTCTCTTTCAAATAAACTAAGAAAGAGTATAGTATTCTCATGTGAAAGGACAGCTTTGATTTTCACAAAATATAGGAAAAGGATTCTTTGAACAATTCACAAGCTTATTTCTTAAATCTTTGTCTGCTGAAAGTTCAATTGAAAAATGAAGACCCTAAATGAACTGCATTCTATTAAGATCAATAAAACTGAACTGTACAGAGTTCATCCCAGTGTTCTCCCAAAATAGCTCAAATGGTTCCCAAAAGATAGAAATGCAGCCAGGCAGTTGGTGACCTTGCACGAATCTTCATCCCAACTGCCCAGGTGGTTTTCAGCTGTACAATTACATCAGTTTTCTGCCTATTCTTTGGCATCCCCAATCCCTCCAGCAGTTATTGCAAAGGTGGCTTCGTTTTCAGGCATCTCAGGGCTGGGGGGCAAGAAACAAGGAACTTGTGGGTTGTGAAACAGGCCTCAGAGAGAAGGTGTGGGAGAAGGAAAGATTCTGCCTGTGCAAACTCTCATTTCAATTTCTTAGTTCCTGACCAGAAACACTGGTCTCCATGCAGTTCCACCAGTGCGATTTTTAATGACTTGCATCTGCCACAGCTTACCAGGTAAACTGATACTAATGTGTCAGCAAAACTTAGTCATTTAACAGTTTTGGAATTCTCCTGACAAGGGACCACCAGTCTTACCAAACAATTTGATAGTCTTAGAGATGAGCATCTAGGAGAATTTATTATGAAAGATTATGTAATTTAATGTATGTGATATGCAAGAAAACTTTAAGTCTGTTAATTAGTTTGGCCTTTCAGATTTTCTCTCAACTTACCATCCAGAAACGTGGTGAGTTTGAAGCCATGAATCGGCCGTCAGGCTGTTACGTTTCAGTACCATGAACTTTGCCACCTGATGGTTGTTCATAACACAGCTTCTTTCTCGTGAAGGAAAAGTGATTTACCTGTCGTATATCTTTGCGATCCGCAGCTCCCCTCTGCCTTTCCTCAAACTAATCCTGGTAGTCGAAGCATGAGCAAGGATGTGACCCCCAATCGGCTTTTTTGGGTCAGCCTGAAAGCTAAATTAGCAAGAAAATTGTGATGATTCACTGTGCAAATTCCATAGATTGGTACTGTGATTAACTGTCAGATAAGGCATATTGAACTCAGTAATGAATTATAAATAGGTAAATATATCAAAAAAGGACTTTAACACACTTGCCTCAAGATAAAATGTTCAAATATTCGATGCTGGTATAATTTTTCTCTCATTAAATTCAAGAGGCTCAAGAAATACACACCTTAAACTTCATATATAAGCTGCTCTAAAAGAAAATGAAGTGCATTTCCAGTACTATTTATGGATTGTTCTCTTCGTTCAAGTCACAGTGAAAGAAGCCAGGCAGAGGATAAACATAAAAAACCTGAGATAAACCTATAGGGTGTCATTCATGAATGATTCATCATACCAGAGAGACCAACAACCAGTCTGAACCTTCATTTCAGTGCCTCTTGCTCCATACAATCTCAGTTCTCATCTCTCTTACGCAGGTAATGCAAATGAGAAGAAATTTTTAAAAAGAGAAAGAGAAAAGGTATCTTACGTCATAGTTGCTCCTGGATCAGCAGTCATCTGGTTTGTCACAAACACAGCCACATTATATTCTGCAACAGAAAACAATGCAAAGAAGGTGGACTATATCCAATTAGAATTTAAAAATATTGTCCCATCCATGGTAAAAGCCTGGTTGCTGCTGGAGCACTTCAAATTTCAAATGAAAGAGAAGCAAATGATCTTTATGTCTGATGGCTGGAGTTAATCAGGAGACAGCCTCAATTTGCTCCCGTGACTTCAGCTGTAATATTATGCCAGAAAACGAGCACTTTTCAGAATTCCAAGGAACAAGTCTTTCCCAGTTCTCATCTCTGTTGGCTCCCTGCCCTCAGCCCCCTCTCCCTCCCCTTGTCTTTTTTTTTTCTTTAAAAAAAAAAAAAATATTTACTGCCTGGAACAAACATTTACTCATTCCTCATCAACATTTCTGAGTCATACCAAAGAGGAGGGACCCTACTCATCCTGTCATCATCCTGTCATCATCCCTCAGAGCACTGCTAAGTGTTGGGAATGTGCCAATGGCCACGGCTGTTCTATCTCTGTGAGCATTCATCCTTTTTTATTTATGTTTCTCACGTATTTAGACTGTCAAAATTTGGGGAAGACAATTTCTCTTATTGGATTTTGTCCAGTTCTACAACCCATTTTCTCATTTAGGACTTCTCTTAACAGTAGTTCTAGGAAAACTCTAAACGTTGAATAGTTTTAAAGACTCCTTAATCTGTCATCCAGAAATAATATATTGTCAGTTTGATCTTTTTGGTAACTGACAGGTGTAAAGTGAGGAAAGATTCCTGGGCCAGTGCCTGATTGATAGTACACTTGGACTACTAGGTGCTGTGCTACCAACAGCTACTGTTTCAGTAACTCCAGTCCATGTTTTCCAAATTTTGCAATGTTTCCTTTACCTTCTGATATTTTTTGGAGCCTTGACAGCATCTGAGCGAGTTTCTGTTGTCGTTCAGCCAACTCTCCACGACCACTGAAATCCACACGGAAAAGTGCCATTATGGAGTCAATGATCTGCATGGTAATTACACTAGATAAGTAAATATAGTGAAAGAAAATAGGAAAACATATTCTGAAAGCAGTAAACATACGAAAAAATGAGTCTTGTACCAATAGTTTGAAGATACCAGCTTCCTCATGGAACTTGGCTGCTACATAGTCAAGCAATTCCATCTGATGTTCACCTGGTGGGAAGTACAGTTGCCAAATGAAATTAGGACCAGAAAGACCTCTGAAGCAACAAAGGCCTGAATTTTAAAATTCTACTTTAAATGCCTCCACTGTTTATACTTTCACTGCCAGCAGTTTTAAATTATTGGGCACTGGCCCAATAACAAGCTACCCCTACAGTAACCAGCAGTGCCTGGCTTCTGCAGGTTCCAGTTTCCCCTTGCCAAGCTAACAAAACTTCTTTGTGAAAAGCTTCACAACAAAACTACACATGAAGACAATTTTTTGTTGAAAAGCAATATAAACATTTGAATTTAATGTTGAATTAAATGACACACAGCAATTGCATTAATCACATTACTCATGTTCATATTGTACTCTCAAAGTAAAAGTCCCATTTAAAAACTTCCTTGAAGTTTTAATGCAGTGTCTCGTGACAGAGTGTGCTGGAGCTGTCCCTATGAAGTTCCATGCACGAGATCACAGAGAATTTCTCAACAGCATTTATAGAATCCACTTACATTCAGGCAATTGCGTCACATTAATTGGTGCTTCTCTTGCTAAGATGCTACGCCGACACCCATTATGTACATGGTAGAGTTCACTTAATGTTGCAGCAGACTGCAAACCTTTATTGTTTGTGTAGTGTAGCTGAGCTGGAATACTTCCACTGAGCAAGTCTGCTCAGCGTGCAACAACAGAAACAGAAAATGGAAGCAAGCTCATAACTTATTTTGTTAGCAACAAAACATTCTTTGTGATCCTCAGTGGGTAATCTCGGTCAATAAACTGAGAACTATTAAAATCATAGAATCATAGAATGGTTTGGGTTGGAAGGGATCTTAAAGATCATCCAGTTCCAACCCCCCTGCCACCAGCAGGGACACCTTCCACTAGACCAGGTTGCTCAAAGCCTCATCCACCCTGGCCTTAAACACTTCCAGGGAGGGGGCATCTACAACCTCTTTGGGCAACCTGTTCCAGTGTCTGACCACCCTCACAGTGAAGAACTTCTTCCTAATATCTAATCTAAACCTACCCTCTTTCAGTTTAAAGCCATTCCCCCTAGTTCTGTCATTAACTGCCCTTATGAAAAGTCCCTCCCCAGCTTTCTTGTAGCCCATTCAAGTACTGGAAGGCCGCTATAAGATCTCCCCAGAGCCTTCTCTTTTCCAGGCTGAACAGCCCCAACTCTTTCAGCCTGTCCTCATAGGAGAGGTGCTCCAGCCCTCGGATCATCCTGGTGGCCCTCCTTAGAGAAAAAGCATAGATATGATGCCAGTCACAGTAATGGTCTTACTAGTGTATGCACGTGCGTACAGCACGTTGTCAAGTACTGCATCGTGGTCAACACTGAAGCGATCAGCAATGTCACGGAGACGGTCTGGTCGGCTGACATTGGCCAAAGTTAAGGATTTCTCTTGGTACAAATCATGCTCTGAAAATAATAAAACTCCATTCCAAAATACACTATGGAAAAACAAAGAATAAATTTTGATCTTAGAGAAGGCTGACTTTTTGTCTTCACACTGTCCCACATACCCTAAAGATAGTTTAGGATTCATGATGGTAATTGTTTCGTGTTTAGGGTTTGAGGTGTGGGGTTTGGCATATGGATATCTGTGCTCTAGGAATTTATCTGTGAGCAATTTATTTATACACAGTCTACCACAGATACGAACTGTTAAAAATAGTGTTCAGTACTTAGATGAATTTCTCTTGCAGTAAACAGAAAAGCTTCTATCACCTGTATCATTATGATGAAGGCATATTACATCTCAAAAAAAACCCAGTTAAAATAAAATCTGTGTCCTAAGTCTAATTTTTCCAGGTTAGATTACATCAAATGACAGAGAAAAAAGTCACTGCCTTGTGGGCCACTACACAATGTGCTTTCCAGGCTTCCTGTGTCAGTGATCATGTCTTACATGTAGGAAGCTATCTGGAGCCTCCTACTTGCTTGTAACAAAATTAACTGTCTCTGCAGTTCATCCTCTGTGTAGCTTTCAACAGTCCAAAAGATACAAAGTGTTTTCAGTATCAATGAAGATAATCTTTCCACCTGTGTAGCCATTTGGTCCTGGAAGCTGAGCTGTCACTATAGTGAATCATACAGAAGATCAAAATGAAAAAGCAGGAAAAATACCATCTTACTCCCTCTAATATTATATTGTAATAAAACACAACTGCTTATCCGTATCACAAAGAACCACCAGTCTTAATCAATGTGGAAATCACTTATATCTGAAGTCTTACTGCCAGCTTGAGAAGAAACTCAAGCCACTTTTCTTGATTGGGGATCAGATGAGATTTAACTAATGGTGTCAGAATTGTGTTTCACTCAGCACCATCACTAAATCTGTGTATTTTCTATGAAAATAGGTAAGGATATTATTAAGAAGTTCTTATGCACAAAGCATCCTCTTAATCCTCTGCCCAAATTAATGGTATTGATTTAGTATGGGTTTATTTTCTAATTGTAACTCATATGATCAAAAATTCTTTGGATATGAATTTTTCCTGATACGTGGATAGTTACTGATTGTGGGTTTAGTCCCTTTGGAGTGAATAAGCTAAAATACTCAATTATTTCAGTTGTAATCATTCATGCAAAAGAGTCTGCTGACTATTAGCCTGTACTAAACGGAAGAGGACTTATTTTTCCAGAAGGTGCCATAATTCCCTTTGTAATATACGGTTCATTTAAGGGAACTTTTGCCTCTCCAGCGTCTGGTAACTATATTCCATCAGTTATAGTTAATAGTTATATTAATAGCAGTTATAAATAATAGTTATTGTTTACCACTATTGACACATTGAGAGATATCACTGGGAAATCAGAGTCCTGCTGTATTTGGCACTGCCGAACACGGTGACTGCCAAAGTCTTTGTTTATCCAGTTACTGTCAGCCAGGAGTATCTTTCAGTGCCCTTTCAGAATGTCATATTCAGCAAAACCTCTTGAAACCAGGAAATTAAGAGTTGCGGAGAAAGAATCTTGCCTTTCCCCTTTCCTGAGCATTGCCCCTGTGCACCTGTAACCCCATATTTGTGCTCTGCTTTTCCAAATGGTGTGTTTCACTGGTTTCTCTAAGGTAGTCTATTATCCTCTCTCTCCTTACGGCAAAACTTACACTGATGAGAGCAGTATTAAAAAGTAACCATTTATATGAGTTCTTAACTCAAAGACAATTAATGGAGGTAAGAGTCACCAAAGTCTGTTTCACTGTATTTCTAGAGAGAAAAGATTCTGACTTTAATTCTGAGATAGCTGTAAAGAATGGATTCACTGGGAAGAAACAGGTTTCTGTTTCGAGGTAGTACACCTACCACAAAGGGTGTGAGATATCTGCGTTTTGCCTGTCCGGAACTCTGTTAAATAAAGAAAAAATTAAAAAAAGGTCAGGGTTTCTTTTTCTGAGTTTGCAGGACTTACTGCAGTTAGAAACACTCTTGCTTACAAAATTCACCTCTATCTCTACCTTTTAAAATCATTTAACCCCAATTTATAAATCATATTCTGTGCAGTAGGAATGTGTTAAATACCACATGGCACACGTGGAAAAGTGTTAATTGGTGTGGGGGGGGTTAGAAATGGCTGATTCCACTGACCTGGCCCAGTTTCATTTTCAGTAAAATTATCAAGGAGAAGCTTATGAGTTTATTAATCTCATGATATCAAATCAAGTCAGTCTCCAGTTTATCTTTTCTAAAGGGAAGAGTACTGTGTTTTATGAACTTTTATTGTTGTTGAAGTGTTAACCACAAACTGATCAAATTCACTATAATAGTAGCTTAATTGTAATTTCAAAATCTTATGCAAAATGCAGCTTATGCTAAATGTGCATAAATAAAATATCTTTTGGACAGTTTTGTTACTGGAAAGGAACACAGATTGCATCAGGGAAATCTTTCCTATATAACATGTTAGTAATAATATTTATAATGCTATGTTGTACTGAATCAGCATGCCCCAAGACTAATGATTACTCATCTCAAACAGTCTGCAAGCAAATGAAGAAGAAAAATGGGAAAACACTTAGAGAAGTGGATTCTTTCTTCTTACCCTCATGCAGGTATTCGTCTTTATGACTACAATGTGATAAGTTTGATAGAAGGAATCCAGCCTGATTTAAAATCTAAGTTGCAATTCTTCGTTCAATAATACTAATTTAATGTGGTTTTCTCACCTCCAAAGGCCTCAGTGATTGCCATGCTTTCAATCCCGCCACCCAGAAGTTTACTGGAGAAAGGTAGAGGATTATGATATAGTTAAACCCACCAAATCACAAGAGGAAAGTAAAAATGATAAATTTTTGCTACTTTAAGAAAAGTTATTTCTGCCCTAAAGTCCCTCACTTGATGCATTAAGTGCAGGGCACTAAATGATCACTGATTCATAATGAATTAACTCGGTCTCGACCTTCCTTTCTGTGTGCAAGAGAAAGTTCTATAGAAATGATTACTGGAAAGAAAGAAAGAAAATACCTTTGAAAAGATAACATTCCATTAAAATATCTCAAGGGAGGTCTTAAAGACTCTCATTTTGACCTGAGACCTGCAGGTTGTTTTGACTAGCTGAAAAAATGATGATACATTCAGGATTTCTCGATGCAAACTATTTATAATGACTGTACAAAGTCCAGTTTCCCCTCAGAAAAGGAGTTGGTTTTGTTGCTTACTGATACAAACACCCTTGAGCCAGCACTAGCTCCAAATGGAAGGTAACCTACATGTCCCAGCTGAATGTTTGTTCCTTGATATTTTTGTGTCTCATTAAAGATAATAAATATGATTATTGGAACAATTTGGACTAAGGAAGGCTTTAAGTAGGGATCAGCTTACTCAAATTCCTGGCTGCCAGTAGTAATATGAAATACCATCTTCCGTTTTTCACTGTACTCGAAGGCGGTCAGGAAGCCTGGTTCCTAAGGAAGACCAAAGAGAACATGAGATGTTTATTTTAGCTTTAGCCTGAAGGTAAAGTGCAATATCCCACATAAATATCTTCTCTCCACTCTAGACTCATTTACACAGGTCGGGTGTGAAAAGCACCACAGCATTTGTCTGGTTGTTGTAGAGTATGAAGTATTATTGCTTCAGAGTAGGGAGCAGAATAATTTTCAAAATTACTTTGATGACGTGGTGAGAAAATCTGTTAAGAGAAACGTTGCACAGCATTTTGGAGAGGCCAGCATAAGTTTAAACCATCGGGAAAGCGATTGACTTACAATAAGCTTGTTTGCAGCTTCTTTAATCTTGTCCACTTTGGCCTCTGAAAGGCCTTTCACGTTGCACAGTGCCCGTCTTGTGGTCATCTGGATTCCTTTGATCGTGCAGATTCCAACTGACTTCAGTTTTTTAATATCTGCTACGTTCTGTGAAGAAAGTTCTCTTCTGTGAGTGCTCATGACAGTTAACAACCAGAAGGTGAAGTAAATCTTTTTATTATACATTCATTTTCACCAAGAAAGGAACAGATTTACAGTAAACTCTTTGTTACGTAATTTGAGACACCAGCAACAGAAAACTTTGGGTAACACTGGTGTGAGGGATCACGGTGCAGAGATATCCTGGTGCTTTTGAGAGAAAAGCGTCTTGGGTCCAGTTGTATTTACTTGTCCCTGTGCAGTGCCAGCCCAACCTAGTAAACCCTCTGACACCCAGTCTGTCCTTGGGACGTAGCACAGGAAATCTGTAAACCAGATAATCTGATCATGGGTAATTGGGAACTGACTCACAAGGATCGTCATAAGCTGCCTCTAACGGCTGTGCTGTGACTGCCTGTTCACAGTATGTCCAGTTTAAAACACACGTATCCTCCAGGTCTGACCAACGCTTTGGGCTGGAATTAACTTACTAGTTTGTCATAAATTGGGTACAGCATGACTTCAGTCAGTGCCCTACTGACACATTTTGCCTCCTCTCACCTCATTTTATGATTCTGACATCACTGGAAACTTAAAGGCAAGCAACAGATTACTCAGAAGAAAACATATGTGAAAGGTTTGGGATAACACTTCAACTTACCATTTCCAGCCAAGTCTTTTCCTTGAAAAACAAAATGAACTAGATGTGTCATCTATTTATCTGGAGCGTGTGGGTGCATAGGACGTAAGAATGGAGGGGGGCTATGTTAGAAATTAGTCACGTTCGTTGGGAAGCGTATTTCTCATCCTGTGATGTGTTTTTTGTTTATTACATTAATAGACATGGATGAGGTAAAATCAGTCATGAATAAAAATGACCCATCCAAAAGAATATAATAACCAGCAATACAAAAAGGACTGAGCTGTTTTATTGTCGCTTTGTATTAAAACAGCAGATTACTACTGCAAAGATCTGGACCAAAACTTTAAATACATTAACCTGCTTCTGCCTTTCTTCAGTGGCTCTGTCTTTCTGGTCACATCAACCTTAAGGCTGTTCTGCAGTACAAGTCTCTGTGTGTGGTAGACCTGGTTATAGTTCTTGTTCTCTCCCTCACAGATACACCTTTCACCAACAGCTTAAGTACGAGCCAAGGTTCTCGGATAGATGCCTCCTTACACTACAGCGCAGGACTAGGAAGTGCTCAGCAGCACTTAACATACTGACACGCCTGACCCCTTACACCAGCTGCTTGTCCTGATCCTCCACGTGACATCACAGCCCTGTCCCAGTTGTGTGCCTCTGAGGTGGAAAAGGGAGCAGACTGAGAATTTACAAATAAAAAAAAAAACTAAACCAAATTTTTGGTGATAATTTTTGGACTAATTGATTCACAAATCCATTTCACAGGGTGACTACAAAAGCAGGTGTGCTGGAAGTTTTAGCATTCTCCAGGGGCAAGAACTTTCAGCAAAGGCTGTGGAGTCAGAGCACCTTAATTCCTACCACACACTTTTGAACAACCACTAGGTTGTGCTAATCTGACTCTCTTTGTGGCCATGTTGTAATGGTAAATATGTCTAGTAAATATTTCTTTCTCTACTCCTAGGAAAAAAACTCTAAACCCACAAAAACTACTTAAGCAAATTAATTTAACAGATGTGGGTCATCGTATGTTCACACAAAGATTTTAACTGGCACAGCTGAAAACAAAAACTTCCCCTGGGATGTGGGAATAACCACTTGGAAGGAAGAAAAAAAAAAAAAAAAAAAGGAAAAAGGAGCAGGAAACCCTTATTAAGCCAGAAAGAACAGCTTAAGTAATTATTCTTTATTTTCAAGATCTTTCATACCTTAGTATCATTCTCTGCATACCAGTACAGCTCCCTTCCAGCTCATGAAGTCAGCCTCTTTGATCAACTCATTGAATTTTTAACACAAGAATTTATGTATTTTTCCTGTGTTGCCCCATTAGAGCTCCCAACCTCATGATCCTACTTCAGAACTCTCTTTAAAACTGTCAATGAATTGCCAATAAAAAAGTTGACAGCAATTACGCTGCTGACATGCTGAGCCCAGTAACTGTAGTGCTGACCAATGCTGTCTCATTGTGTCTGTGTCCTCCTCATCTGTATCTGTCTGTAGTCATAGTAGAGTTAAATCTTACAGTATTTCAGGCAAATCCAACTTTTTCTTCTGCTTCTGTAATACTGAATATAATAGGGTTCTGATCCATGAGCTAGTCTCCTGGATAAATGCATAATAATAGTAATTCAAATAAAGAGGTGATGTTTATGTCATAGTAATGATGATGATAATGATAACAGGAATTCATATTTCCTATATGAAGAATATGAAGAAAACTAACCACTTAATTCTCTAGCTACTATTTTCTTCACTCCCACTCTACCCCCTTCAACAGCATGGTGAAAATAGTATAGCAACGATTGTCACAGTGTAATTTCACAGGCACCAAAAATGCAGGAGTAATTACAAAGATTGGCAGGAACAGGAAGCAATCTATCACACAGTTTTCAAATAAATTAGCAAGTAGTTGGTTTTTAAACAGTGCTGGGTGCTAAATACTTTGAATATCTTGCCACTTTATTTAGGAATCTGATGAGAATGAGATTCTCTGAAAACCTGTCTTATCACCAAAGGCAAAATTTGTCTTCACATGACTGATTTAGAATTTAATGCAAAGATGAATGTCAGTTATTTGTATCAATGTGTATATGGTTTTGGAGAAATGACCTTACAATAGCTTTATATGAACAATTCTGTGTGGTAAACTCATTGCTAATACTTACAATTCCATGCTTCTGTAGCAGGTCAATATCCTGAAAAAAGGATTCCTAAAAAAAAAAAAAGGCAGAAAAAAAAAAATAGATTTTTCTTTTTCTTGTAATTACATCTATCTCACTATGTGTCTGTTTCAATTTTGTAAACATTTAAATGATTTTCCCTAACAATACATAACTTGTTGGAATTCCCAAATAAGCAAAGCCATAGCGAGACAAGAAGGCCTACACATTTCCTATCACCTTCTTCATAAACTGTAGATTCACAGGCAAGCAATCCTCTGCTGCACTAATAAAACTTGTGTTATCATTATTATCATCATCTTGATTCTTCCCACCACAGTTTCTCAGGCTTTTCAGGCTCTTGACCATTCACTGGAAGCATAAAATTAATTGATAGTCTCTTTGCATTTAATATAGAAGTGTAAAATATAAAGAAATAATGATAATCCCACTAAAAACTGAGCATAGCTTTGGAAAGGTTAATGATGAGCACTTAAAGAGCAAGGCTGTACAGGGACTAGGAGAATGAGATTTTCTTGGTATTAGACTGGAAAAAAAAATTAAATGCATTGAACTCCCTGATGGTCTTTGGGGACCTCCTGTCTCTCCTTGGATTTCAAAACACTATCAAAATACCTTCATTTGCTGCACATATTTTTCAATGAACCATAAATTTACCTCATCATCCTGGTATCCTGGTTCTTCTTGGACTACTTGATCCTCCATGGCCTTCATCGTGAAAAAGCAGGCAATAAAGTATTGATCACTACTGGGAAATGCAAACAAAGATAGTATTGGGGTAGCAATAAACGAGTCAATGACTGTAAAAGGATTTTTAAGAAGTCCTTGAACTACAGAACCGTCTCAGTGTGCCATCACATACAGATTTAAACTCACATTTGGCTTCCAACTCCACATTATCTGACCTACTAGACCGAAAGGAGAAAATCTGCTCTGTTGCTCTCAGATGAACCCATTTGGCTAGAAAGTGTTTATCAGGTATTAGGAGAAGAGATGCCATTCCCTTGTGAGAATCTTGGGTCACAGTATGAGTTTGGAGGTGGTAATATTTTATAATTAGTGGTATTTATTCTGGTAAGAAGGTTAAAGGCAGTCTGTATTTTTATAAAAAAAAGTCATCAGAGTTGCAGACAGAATGGGTAATGGAAAGGCTGTGCAACACCTCAGCTTCCCAGTCTTTATGTGACAGAAAGCCCACAAAACGGTGCTATTGAGAAGGCTACAACTCCTTAGCCATATATCCTGAGTGTAGACTATAAAGCTGTATTTGTTTTCAAGTTCTTGCCGGAGTTCAGAATACCTAAGAAATGCTGAAGATGTGCAAAGAGCACCTGTAAGAAGTATGCTTGCATGAAGAGAGTAAAATAAGGGTAATAAAAATCTGAGGCTTTTATTATGCAAAAATATACACAGAGATCTTACTTCACGGGTTTTCACGGTTAATTTGCCATGTCTGTACTCCACTACAGCTTCATGGCCCTCTTCATGTGACTTCCTATAAGCAAGGCCTAAAGCCAGAGTAGGTGCTGATTGATAGTATGGTCAAATAAAAGGCAAAATATTATCTCCTTAAATTTTATGAATGCTAGAAAAATGAATACAAAGTAGTTCCTTAGAAATATGATATTATAACCTGCTGTATCATTTTTGTAATTTAGTAAATGGATAGGTTGTTTCTGTCTTAATTGTGAGCTTGCCTTCACTGTTCCAGCTATGGCTGGTCAGAAATTTTGTAAACTACCTCAGCCAGATGTGTATATATGTTTGCTTGCTCATCCTTGTTATTAAAAACCATGAAAGGTAAGATAGGTTTATTATGAAACTACAAGATGGGCTACATCTAACAGAGGATGAGATAATTTAAACTAAATATCTGAAAAGAGTTTTTTTTTCAGCTTCTAAATGGATACTTAAGGTCTGCCTAATTTGCTTGCAAGAATCTTGTGTATACAGAGGATGGGAGAAGTCAGAAAGAAAATATTATCATTTTAGAATGACCTTCTTTGGGTTTGGCATGAAAATACGATGGAATAACTGCTGTTAGTATTTAATGGAAATATTCCTATAAAATGAGTTGCTTCTGATAGTGCCAGGATATATCTCATTTCTATTTCAGAATCCTGACGATTATGGAATGAGAAATCCTGCCTTCATGTCATGCCTTATATCAATCAGAAAAATAACTGCAGACATTATACCACACCTACTAAAAGCTTTAGGGATGAACAAAATCCTCCTGTTTAGTGAAGAGCCCTCCTGTTGCCTGTGTGTTGGTGCACTGAAGACTCAGAGAATTTCAGCCACCGATGCCTGCAATGAAGCAGATAAAAGGGTGAACATCTAAGACAACACAGCAAATCCATGAAGAAACGAGGATCTTTATGAGGAAACACTTTTGTGCCACCTTGGGTGCTCCGACCCTGCTGTTACCACCTTGGGAGCTGCTCATTAAGATATTGCTCTCCTTTCCACAGGTACAGACTGTCGGGGTGGCCCTGGGGCCTGGGCCAGCACCAGCGGTGGGTTTAATGAGTGGGGAGGGTTTGAACTGACAGAAACATCGCAGCTGCCTGGGCTGGAGCCGAGCTTGTGTCCTGCCCTGAGGGTGCCGCGGTGGAATTTCACATCTATTGCCTCAGAGAAAAATAAATGATTAATTGTGTATCAACACACAGATTTATTTGGCTTTTCCTTGCCAGCTGCCTTTTCGGGGGGTGTAAATTTCCATTCCCAAAGTGAGAGGCACTACAGAATTTCCCTCACCCGTGGAGCTCCACGATTCCTCGTCAAAATTACAACTCTAATTAAAACACAGCTCATCCCCGGGCACCTCCGGGAGCGCGGGAAGGCGAGTGGT